GGTTGCTGGACTGATCAACCAGGCTGTTAGACGCGGCTGCTCGCAGCCTGACGTATGAGTCACAGCCTGGTTGATCAGGTATCTTTTGGAGGTGCTTATCCAGTTCTCTCTTAAACACTGTGAGGGGTCGGCCAGTTATGCCCCTTATGTGTAGTTCAACACGCTTCCACAACACATAAGGGGCATAACTGGCCGACCCCTCACAGTGTTCAAGATAAAATTTTACAAGCCCCTCCAAAGGATACCTGATCAACCAGGCATTTATTTATATGCCAGGCTGCGAGCAACCGCATTCAACAGCCTGTTTGACCAGTCCAGCAACGAGGAGTCCTGGTCGAAGACATGGCTATGGGGACGCTAATCCCTGAAACCAAACCATCTCAGGGTAAGATTCCTCCAACAACACATTGACTACTTGGACTTTAATGCTAGAGTGCCATAAGGCTGTGTAATCGCATTAACATTACACCATACACTACAGAGGGAAGGAAAGAGGAATGGTTCAGTAAGAATACGGATGCCACCGTAGTCTTTCTGTGAAAAGTTACAACCATTAGAACTGAATTAACATCTTAAGTTATAGAGACAGAGGGGGGGGGGGGGGGGGGAAAGAGAGAAAAAAAAATGCTTGTGGTCAGGAAAGCCAACTATTCTTGCGGTACTGGCTGGAGGCCGTGACGTCACCGGTCATCACGTGACCAGAGGAAGGCCTACAGGCTGGCTGGAGCCCCTGGCCGATGCCGTTCTCTCCTCTGATTGCTTGATTTGTAGAACACAGGGGACAAGCTTGGCCTTCTCCTGCCTCGCCTTGGGAAAGCATTCTGTCTTGTATTGCCTATTTTGTGCGACTTGTCTTCCCACTGTGTTGCCAAACCGCGAGAAACACCGTCTAGAGCAACATTTAGCAACTAATAATTATCGTTCCATCAATGCGGATTCGCTGAGCAGAATCCAGGATCGCGGTGATAGGAAATACGATATTAGGAGTGAAACGAATTAGATATAGTGTAACTCGCCACATGATCCTGCAAGAGGAACAAGATTGCATTTTTAAGATCCGTGATCATCGTCAACATCCGTAGTCATCCGTCACCATATGACTTCGATACTGAACTAGGAAGGAATAAGGAAAGGTTTCCCACTGAGTGTGAAATCCTCATTTAGATTTAAGTGAATTAAGTGAATAACAGCCTCCTTAGTGGACAGAAATTTCTGCCAAATCCGTGCTACATCTCCTTGTACCTTGAACATGAGGTCGCCATCAGAGTAAAGCACTGTGCACACTGTGTTCCTCACAAAAGCTGAGGGGCAGCGCTCACATTGCTTCACTTTTGAGCGAGAAAATCATGCTCGTGTGTGACGGACCTCGGCGCCATCTATGATCCAGTTGCCGAACTATGGCAGTTGAATCGTAGTTTCCCATCTTCTAGTCGGCTGGGCTGGAAGGTGACAACCAACCAGGGACAGGCAATAGAAGTCAGCAAAGCCAGGAGAGTGGGCGAGTACTTAGGTGGACCTGAGGGTGCTAGCCAGTGTTGGCTAGTCGAACGCTGTGGACATTACTCCAGGAAGAACTAGTCAAGTGAGCTAGTTGGGCACTGTGGACTTCACTCCTGGAGGTACTAGCTAGTGGGGCTAGGGGAGTGCTGTGGTTGTTCGCTATGGACTTCACTATTGGAAGATGCTAGCCAGTGGGGCTAGGTGAGCACTTTGGACATTGCTGGTTGAGCATACTAGCGAGTGTGTCGAGGAGGGGGAGTGTTTGAAAACATCTCCATAACGGCAACCAGTTTAAGGGCTAGTGGTGAGTTGAAGACTAATTCAGAGACATAGTGTCCGTCATCTGTGAAGCTAGCTAGCGTGAGGGCTAGTGGTGCCGCTCCGGATGACCTCACATAGAAACTTGTATATATTATTATGGTGATGGGTAATAATAGCGGGTTATTTTAAGTGCTATTATTTTGAATTACCTTAAATATTACACTATATTTCCATCAAGATTAGGATCCTGTGAACTTGAGTAGGATCATAGTTAAAAAAGAACCCGGTTACGAAAGGTTCGTAACATCGTGTACTTGTGGGACCTTCCCACGCCAATCCTGGTAGCTAGGCAGCCTACACTGCTCGCCTCACCGCGCCACACCGCTCCTAGTGCTGGAGGCACCTAAATCAACTCTCAGCGGAACGTTGTCCTAAAGCACTTGGTCAGGGGAAGGAAGTGGAGCCGAGGGAAACGCACATGTTAGGGGCGACCACAGTACGTTGGAGGGAACTACTGCGCCGGAGTCGTTTTTTGGTGTATAGTTTATACACCAAAAACATTTATAGTCGGGTGAACTGTTGTGTATATTTATTAGTTCAGTTCAATATCATACCGTTCTGTGTAGAGATTTCCATGTATGTGTTGTCTCATTTCAGGAGAAACCAGTGATTCCAGAAATGTGTGTATAACTTGCGATAACCAGTGTATGTAATTACTGTGGTGGATACCCTGTGATACTATTTGTTGTGATACCTTGTGTATATAATTACGTGTGGTGGTATTATTAATTGTATTGTCTTGGTTATTGGTGTACTGTTAGTGTTGCACTGGGAAGTGTAGCATTGTGTTCTTGTGTTTAGTTTGTCTGTGACAAGGAATTTGTGATCTGTAATTAGTAATTACTCTCCGAATGACGGTAATTATGGTTAACGAATTATTGTTTTGGTGTGTTGATTGTCGGAGTGACAAGATTGCAATTAACGTATGGATTGTAATAATGACAGGATTGTAATGACTTTCTTGCTGACTGTCCAGCTGACCGAATATTAACATAATCACCGAGACTAAATTAGTGTAATTGATTACACTATTGTTTGTCACTCTTACAGATGTGTGTTAACGTAATTGAGAGGGTTACTGGAGACCCTCTTTACTGTTACTGGAGTTACTGGAGTTACTGGTTACTGGATCTCGGTGATCTGCCTTACTGTGTTTGCATTCTTATCAAGCATTCTTGCATTATTCACGCATTCCTGCATTTTCTGCAATTGCTTGAATTGCAATTTGAGTCCTAAGTGAGCACCCGTATTGTTCAGTTAGTTCATTACATCAGCCCCAACGGCAAGGCGAGGACTCCTTGCTATACTGCTGGCTGGACAGCTGTTTTTAAGTGTCACTTCGGGTTATTAACATAACGTCAAGATTGTTGTGCCTTGTATTAGGTTAATTCTTTATGAATAAATTGTTATTGTTCCCAAAAGAAGTGTCAATACCTTCCAATATTATTGTCCCACCCATGATGCAACATATTTAACTGTTCTTGCAAACCTTCACCAAGTCCTGCTTCTGGATATGAACCCAATTCATAGCCACACATCAAATTAAATTTGGTGGTAGAACTCGTGAGCTTCTCTTAATTAAGATTGCAATTGGCATTTAACGACCTAGTGGATAAGGGTTCCATTGTTTTTGAACCCTGACAGTTGTTACCGGCGTGTTTTTTAAATTTTAATGTAATAATCTGCCTCTGGCATTTAATGTGCTGGCTTGTGCAATCCTTTCTTATTGAAGACATTTGTATATATGTTCAACCCAAAATAAATATATCTCCCGTCTGGCGTGCAAAATGGGGCTATGCAACTTGGGTTTAATCCCATAAATTAAGACTCGAATTAGAGTAACGATCAACAAATCAAAACAATAATTTGCTAACCGTAATTACTGTCAATCGGACCAATTAAACACTAGGCGAGTAATTACATTAATTATTGTCAAACAGACGTATAACTAATCAAGAACGAATTACGTTAACTCGATGCTATCACTCACGATAGCTTGCCCAGCAAAACTGTCACTTCACTTAATGATGTTAATTACCTTAACAAATTCACTGAATCCATAATTACCAATTAAAGATCACAAATTCCTTGTTGCATAGACAAGCAAAACACGGTAACACAATGCTGCACTATAACACTGCGCTAATAACCAACACAACACAATAATACCACACTGATAATTATCCATCCACTAATTACATACACAGGGGTATCACAACAGATAACCCCTTACCACTCTCGAATCACTGGTTTCTCATAAAGAGACAACACATACATGGAAAGTTCAACACAGAATGGAATAATGTTGAACCGAACAAATCGATACACACGATAGTTCACCTGACTATAAATGTGTTAATTTCTCGCGAGTTACCAGGACTCGCGTGGGAAGGTCCCACACACACGAGGAAGATTTTCTCAACTAAAAGTGAGTTGAGGAATGCCCCCCTCGGCTCTTGTGAGGAACACAGAGAGGAACAAAGATAATGCACACGGTGTGGCGCTCTACTTTGATGGCGACCTCGTATTCAGGATACATGATGTTGCAGCACGGATTTGGCAGCAATTTCTATGTTTACGGAGATGGCCGAAATTCACTTAATTACGTCAGAAGGATTTCACAATCAATTGGGAACCTTCCATTATTCCCTCCTAGTTCAGTATCGTAGTCATATGGTAACGGATGACTACAGATTCCGACGATGATCACGGATCTCAATGTAGTTTCGTTGCTCCTGAGGGATCACATGTTGTTACACCATCTTCTTCGTTTCACTCCTAATATCGTAATTCCAGTCGCCGCGATCCCAGATTCTGCTAGAGACCCGCGTTGACTGAACGATGATAATTATTGACTATATTTCGCTCTAGATGGTGTTTCTCGCAGTTTGGCCAAACTGTAGAAAGACGAGTGTAACAAGAACACAGGACAGACTGCTTCCCTGAGGCGAGGCAGGAGTGGGCCTTGCGTGTCTGCTCTGTTCTAAGAATCCATCAGAGGAAGGGCGGCATCGACCATCAGAGGAAGGGCGGCATCGACAAAGTGGCCTCGACCAACCTGTAGACCTTCTGGACACGTGATGACCGGTGACGTCACGGCCTCCAGTCGGTGTTGATACAAGCGGCGAGAACCGTTGACTTTCCTGTCCACAAGTACCTCTCGCTCTCTCCCTTCGTCTCCATACACTTTAATGTTAATTCTATATTAGTGGTAGTACCTATTCTCACAAAGACTGTGACGGCCTCTGTAGTCATACTGAAGAGCCTTGGGTTTATGCTAAACATAGACACCAAACAACAAAATGGTGACTTACGAATTACAAAATCTAGAGTGAGTGCACTCTGGTGCATTCATGTCAGAGTACAACATGATAGCATGCACTCCAACACAGTTGAGAAGATAACTGGTAATCTATCCTCTCACATAACCTCACACTCGAGAATTTATTTTACTGGAAGAAAAATACATTCAACATCAACTAGATTACACGGCCAATAACTGTCTATCAGTGTGCCCCAGCCGAGCTAGGTGTTGGTTGTGAGAGACTGAGTTTTCTAAATGCAGTCTCCTGTGGGGGAGGGGGGAGTCAGGGAACCTATGGGGGGGGGGGGGGAGTTGCATGACCTTGGACTGGTGTCATGTTCCGCTTCGGCTCCAGGTCCTGGCCGACTCAATGTCTCGTAACCATTTTCGTCACTAAGCTTTACATTACAGGGGCATAGGGTGAAAGAAACTCTGCCCATTGTTTCTCGCCGGCGCCCGGGATCGAACCCGGGACCACAAGATCACAAGTCCAGTGTGCTGTCCGCTCGGCCGACCGGCTCCCTATTGGCAAATTAGCTTAATGGTTATTGACCCCCCTCCCCGCTCAGCTCGTTGTCGCCGTGTGGGGGCTTAGTGGGCGGCTGCCGGAGTGTGATGCTCCTTGGGACAGTCCTCTGTCCTTTTCTAGCCTTGTGCTCCTGCTGCCGTCCTCTCCAATTCTGCTGGGCATCTTTTCCTTTTCCTTCTGTTTCGTTTTTCTCCCCCCTCTTCTCCTATCTGCTTGCCGTTTCCTACCGACCTTTTGCTCGTTCTGGTTCTTCCCTTGGACTTCTTCTATTTTGACGCCCGGGTGCTTGAGGAGGCATACTCATGCACCCGTAGAACTGCAGTACCCGACGTCGAGAGCGAGGGGAACCTTTTATTGTCAATCCCCACTTCGTCACTGAACCCGATCTCGACGGACTGTCGGTTTCTTAAGGTGGCGTTTGTGGGGCGTATACTCGCGACGCACCCCTAGGAGGCCCCGACAAGATAGGCGATAGCTTCTTGTTGGGTGTCCTGCCTCTAATTGTGGCTCCATGGTGGGTGTGGGGGCACATTCGTGAGTGAATTCTTCTTTTCGTCAAGATGATTACCCCTGCTTCGGCTTCTTCTGGCTTACCTTCTCAGGCTCGTGGGGTGGGCGACCAAGCCCCCGAGTCGGTCCGTATTGGAAGACCGGGCTCTGTAGCCTCCGCTGCATTGGGCCCCGACCTTGCTCCTCCTTTGGCCTCTCTGACTCCTTCCTCTGGCTCCCCTCCCTCCTCTGTGGTTGGGTCGAGCCCCAAGCCCCCAGTGGTGACTACCTCGTCCCCTGGCGCGGCTCCTTCTCTAGTTGTAACTACTGCGCCTTTTAACCCCTCTCTCTCTGGGGGTTCTCACCGCCGTCCTCGTCACGGCCGCCCTCGCTCGGTTCCTTCCAGTTCTGCTACCTATCAAGCCTTGTTTGGTCCCGCTTCATGGGCCAAATATTTTGATCTCCTCCCTCTTGATTCTGCGCCTCCTGACGGTTTCTCCCTCCATCGACATCTCGTTGATTCCGTGGATGCCTCCATTACTTTCAACCCCACTCGTCTCGGTACACGTGTCATTGCTGCTCCTTCTCAGGATGCTGCTTCCCGCTTGGCTGCCTTATCCTGTCTTGGCGAGACCCCTGTTCGGGTCTCGAAGAACGTTCAGTTGAATGCCAGTGTTGGCACTATTCTGCTCCCGCCCCATGTTGCGACCGATGTTCGGGACCTGCGCGACTGCCACGACGATATTCGACATATCCTCGCTGCCCAGGGCCATTCTATTCTCCAGGTGGACACGTTTACTCGTCCCCCTCGTGGTAGTCGTCGTCAACCCCTCCGGGTTGTGAAGATTACCTTTGATGGTAGGACCCTTCCACCCTCTGTCATTCTTGCTGGTGCCAGGTGCTCTGTCCAGGAGTACATTCCTTCTCCTCGGCTCTGCAACAAGTGCTGGAGGTTTGGGCATGGTGCCCTCCGCTGCTCCGGGACTGTCTCTCTCTGTCCTTTGTGTGGTGGCGAAGGTCACTCTAAGTCGGAGTGCGCTTCTCCCCAGGCTCGTTGCCTCAACTGCGGTGAGGCCCATCCTACCTTCTCCCGTGCGTGTGTCCATTACAAGCTTGAGGCAGCCGTCCTCAACTTGAAGCACCGGGAGCGTTTATCTTTTCCTGAGGCGAGGCGCCAGGTTCGCCGGCTCCCGCCTTATGCTAATATCTCTTATGCTCGCGTGTTGCGCTTTTCCTCTCCTCGTCCTTCCCGCCTTCCTCAGACTCACAACCGTTTCCGGGCCTTGGACCCTGATGCGCCCACTGCCCCCTCCTCTGTCCCTTTGGGTTCTCTCCCGAAGGATCCTCCTCCTGGTCCTCTGTCTGGGGTTCCCCTTCCTTCTACCCGGTCTGTCGTGTCTTCTGTGTCTTCTTCCTCGTCCCCCTCCGATCCTCCTTCCCATCCTCTTCCTCCATCTATCGGCTCTCCCCACCGCCTGTCGGTGCGGGCGGATGTCCATCGCTCTCCTAACGGCCGTCGTGTGTGCTCTCGTTCGGCTTCTCTTGTTGAGACACTGGAATCCGTTGCCCGGTACGTAGTTGCTGGGACAAAAGGTCTCTTTAAGTCAGAAGCGTAAGCCTGGCTCCTCTCCTTCCTCTTCCCCGGCGGGTAAGAAGGCTTCGCTTTCTTCCTCAGCTCCTCCTTCTGGCTCTGTTGCTCCTTCCCCTCCCGTTTCAGTGCTTGCGCCCCCTGTTCCTGCTATGGAGGTTTCTTTGGCCCCTGCTTCCCTTTCGGTTGCTGCTCTTGCTGGGGTGCGCTCCTCTCTTTCTACTCCCCCTCTTCCTGCTGCTGTCCTTGACTGCTCCTCTCCGTTGTCTCCTCCTCCTCCTCCTCCTCCTCCGGACCCTGCCCGCCCACCTCTGATCTGTTCTCCCGTTTCCTTCCCTCCGTCTTTGCTCAGTTTACCCATGCCCCCTAATCCTGACTTTGCTGACCCTGATCCCGACCCTGATATTCTTTAACGTGCTCTGTTGGTCTTTCGCCTTTGTTTCTTCCTTGTTCTCTGTTTTTGTCCTTTCTCTTCTCGTCGTTGTCCATTCTTCAATGGAACGTTCGAGGT